CCCAGCAAGGTTCTTTTATGCCTTGTTTGTAGCAAGGACTTTTTAGAGTGTCTAAAGAAATGTAACGGCTGATGAATGTTTGAATGGATGGAATGGTCGAGTGAAGACAGGCGGCAAGAACTTAATCAATCGCCGGCCGAACGTGATGGCGAGAACTTAATCAATCGCCATCTGCCAAACACAATGGCAAGAATTTAATCGATCGCCACTGAAACATGATAGCAAGAATTTAATCAATTGCCATCAGCCAACTAATGACAAGAATTTAATCAATTGTCACTACGATTCAATGGCAAGAATTTAATCAATTGCCATTGAATTAAAAGCCTAACTAAAATTGCGTAATTAAAATTGGCATAATTGAAATTGAAAGAAAGTAAATGGCTGAATTGAAATAGTTGACAATGATCTAATCAATTGCCATTAAATTGAAATAAAGAAATTGATAGGAAAAAATGACGTAGAGTCAATTGAAAACATTTTTAGTTGAAATGCATGTTTTGTGGTGGTGTTGGACAAGTTAGAAATGGAATACAATACTTCTATTTATAGAAGTTCTATCTCAACTTATTTTCCTAAGTTATTGCTAGAAAATCTCTCCTTCTTTGATTCTTTTTCTTCACAATTTGAACTCAGTCAAATCCTATTGTTATTCTGCTTCCTTTCTTGTTTTGTTTCAGTAGGAAATCTCTGTAAAAACAACCTTCCTCGATTTAATCACATGTAAGTTGCCGAGATATTGCTAAAACGTTGCTAGAAAGTTGCTGAAAAGTTGCTAATTTTTAGCAACTCCCCTCCTTAAGTTTAGCAGCCGTGTTCTATCCCAAGTGGCCCATCCTTTAGCGCCATGTCTTCAAAGCTTTCCTTCTTTCATCAAACTAAACTTCCTATTTTATAGGAATTTAGTTATTGAGTTTCATCCAAACTCTAACCTTTTCCTTTTCTGTTAACATCCCATTTTGAAAAAAGTCAAATGTGAGTTGCTATATTTCAGCAACTGCCATATCATTAGGTGGCTGAAATATATCTTTCTATATTTGCTCCTAATATCTTCAAACTGGCCGATCCATTCTTGGACTTGCTCAACCCTTATCGGCTTCCCATTGGTCCATGTCGCTGCTGAAGTGGCTGCCAAGTTTTGGTGCCAACAAATGCCCCCTGAATTTCAAAGGCTTTTATCACCTATGATACGAAGCGTTTGGAATTTGAATCGGCCTAAAATTGTAATTCAAATTTTAGTAATAAATCCTTTTCCCAACCACCTGCTTTAATGGTTATCTTTCCCAATTAAAGCGGCGACTACACTAATCCGCTATTACATCCAACAAGTATTTAGCTTGATGTCCTCTAATCCCTAAAATCATTCTTCTTCCCTTAAACTTTCTATCTCTGAAACTTCTTTCTCGGCAAAATCATTCCTGAAGTCTTCTATGGCTCCTAAGAAAACTAAATCAACTGATTCCACCTCTATCCCTCAACCTTCCGATCCTTCAACCCATGGCAACATCATAGAAAAATCCCTAAAAACTCTATCTCCATACAAATACTGTCTCAATACCCTTATCGATCTTCGTACTGACTTCAAAGGCTTAGGTCCTGCTTTCCTTGACGAAGCTCCTTCATCAATCTCAACTTTCTATCCTTCGGCCGACGTTCTTCCATTCCTTCAAACCTTCCCTCCTAATGAAAATGGCAGTTTGCCACACTTTCATTTTAGAACATGGTATATTCCAAATGATGCTTGGATCAATTGGGTCGACCGGGTTGGAGCTGTAAAGGGAGAAGTATGGAAGGATTGTGGCATATATGATGCCATTCAGCTAAGTAAAACTAACATCGCCCAAGACAGGGCCTTGATGATAGCAGCCATGTTTAATTGGTCGACCACCACCAACTCCTTACACTTGAAGTGTGGCATGATGGCTCCAACCATTCAAGACGTGTGCTATCTAACTGGCCTCAAACCCTTTGGGATTGATGTAAGTACCTTATTAGTAGAAGAGGATTCTCCTTTTATCTTCCCTTCAAAGTAAACTGGAACCAAGTCATCTGAATCATCTTATGGCAAATACTTAACTTCCACCATGGATCCTCGCGTCCCTGTGAATGATGCTGAGCATATTGCCTTCTTGTTGGCGTGGCTGAACAAGTTTCTTCTATGCGTACCGGCCTTTCAAGTCACAAAAGATTTCATTCATGTGGCCGTTGCTCTTTCAAGAGGTAAACACCTTGCTCTTGCCCCCTTGGTGCTTTCTCATTTATATAGAGGGATTTATGACTTGCTTACCTCCAACTTCGGACGCTATGGTGGTCCCCTCTGGTTATTTCAAATTTGGCTTCAAGTGTACTTTCCTGAACTCGGACCTGTGGTAAGGCCTTCGGCCAATGACCCATTATTTTCTGTAAGTTACGCATCAGCCGTACCTAAATCCCATTCGTTTGGAGATTGCTTCAATTTCTTTTACTCCGGTTGTGAACAGAGGACTATCAGCCAATTTCTTCCATTTTCTCATTGCTCACAAGCTCCTCGATGGCTGACTCCTCCTCAAGGAGTGTCTACCAAAAAATCAGCTGATAAGCATTCGGCCATATGGGCCAGTTTCTTACTTCCAAGAGACCTTCATTTCAACACTGGCCCTCTAGGCACAGTAAACTCAAAAGTTGGAGTTGAGTTCTACAATCCAAACCAACTTGCTAGGCAATTTGGTCTGACTCAAATGATCCCCATGCCCCCCTTATTTCTCTTTCAACAAAAACTTCCATAGGCGTGTGGTATTTCCAGATGACTCCTATGTAAAGAATGTGTCCTCCCGGTTCTCAAATCTGCAAGCCGGATTCCAATTCCAACCCTTCATCAAAAACCCAGCCTCAGATTCTAGTTTTGATCAATGGTGGTCTTCTTACATTACTTCTACAAGGACGGCTGATAGCCAGTCCCTTGTTGTTGAAATATTGGAATCTTTCAAGTTCATATCTGTGGCCTTTGAAGGGGCATTCGTAATTTCCCGGGCCGTTACCCCAAAGAAGATGCCTCAAAAAGATCCTCCCAAAGATAAAAAAACAAACGGCCAAGAAACTCCCTTTCTCTCAGCCAACAGATGCTCCAACAAGGACCAATAAAGAGAGAAAAGCCAAGGCCAAAGCCACTGTCAGCCTCCTCAAGGGTACGATCTTCCTTTACTTGCATATATATATATATATATATATAAACTTTTAATTGAATTTCTCTTACTCCCTTTTTTTTTTTCTTGCAGATTCAGACAGTGGAACTTTATCAGCCTCGCCCAATCTAGAAAATTTTCTCGAGCCATCCTCCTCAGCCTACAACAACTGAATCAATCATCATCCCTAATGTTCCTCCAGTTCCTCCAAAGGTAAAAGTTTTTATCTATTAACATACGAAGACAATCATATCGGCCCAATTATTAAAATTCTTGGCCGATATTGACTTCTAATTCTCGACCACAACTATTATTGGCCGAAACAAACTTTAATAAAGCTTCCATCTCCAAGGGAAAAGAAAGAAATCAACTGCTCATGGCACTTTAAAAAGAACAAGATTGAGCAAACGTAAGAAACAGGAAGTGGAAGAAAATCTAGAAAGCCTTCATCCTACAGAAGACGTGGCCGATGATTCCGTAATTAATGTGACTGACACTCCTTCTGATCATTCCTCAGTTGAAAAAGAGGTAAAGATAACTGTACTTGAAATTTCCAAAATTTTCAATTAATATGATCCTTAATTTCTTCTCTTTTGCAGCAATCTCCTCTTCTTGACTTGGTCTATAGCCCAGTTAGAAATTTCAGCCCTCTGAAGGATTTTCATGATCCCATTGAGGTGCCCTTCAATGTTCAAGTCACTCATGCTAAAACTTCATCCCAGGGAGATAGCACAGTGGTTCAGCCAGAATTTCCTATCTTAGTGACAGACATAGCCGACATAGCCAGTCATCAGCCACTATTAGTGACAGACATAGCCGAATCATCTAAGGTATTGACTATCTCATGTCCCAAAAAAAAAAAAAAAACTTAAGATCTAATCTTTCCTCATTTTGTCAGGTTGTGTATGAGAAAACTCAAATTATTCCTTTACTTCCTCCACAAAAAGTTCCTGCTTCATCCCTATTGGCTTTGAGCAATTTTTTTAAGGATGTGGTGGCTTCAGTGACCGAAGAGAAAGAAAGTGAATCTTCTGGAGCCACCCCAGTCACTTCAACCAATATCCCTATACAATCCTTAGAAGAGACCAAAAAATCTTTACTTGAGATCTTGAAAAGGGATGCTGCTGATCTTCCTAATTTTGAAAGTGAACTCACAGCAGTGCTTTCTACACTCAGCCAGTACCCAGACTTTTCGGTTGATCTTCAAGCCACTATTGCTACCTTTAAAGGCCAGCTACCAACTTTGACCGATGATATTTTCCAAGCCAATGAAGCAATCAACCAATTCAATAAGAGTAAAAACAGGAAGGATACCCTTGCTAACCAATTGTTAATTCAAGCTTCCTCCTTTGAAAGAGTGAATACAGAGTTCATCGGCCTTGAGGAAAGAGAACATGTCCTTCAGAAAGAGATCGACCAGATCCATGCTCGTAAGGCCATCTTGTCTGCTGAAGCTGCCACATTGCAGTTTGAAGCTCAAGACCTTGCTCACGAGCATGCAAATCTTCGTGGAGAATTACCTCAATTGGAAGAGTCAAAGAGGCAGGCCATGGTGGCCTTCAATCGGTCCTTAGTTATTTGGGCCGATTTCAAGGAAAAATTTGCTAACATATGAATTTTTTTTTATATTAGCTTCCTTTTGTGGCCATCTTAGTGTATGATCTTTAAATGATGTAATCTTTTACACTTCAATGAATAAATGGCCTCTTTTGTTACTCCAAACAAGCATCAACATTTTAGCGGGAAAAATTTTATTAAAATAGCCAAATCAGCCTAGAAAAATAGGCCGATTTTTATTACATAAAGGTACACATGGTCAGCCATAAGTACTGGCTAACACTAATTTTCCCTTTCAAAGATTGTCGGTACGTACCTCTTAAGGTACTTGCCATTAATGGGATAGCCATGTAATCGACCACTGAAATACTTCAGCCTATATGCTCCTCCACTTAAGACTTGATGGACCAAGTATGGCCCTTCCCATTTTTGGGACCACTTCCCATATTTCCTATCGACTTTACCCACTGGCAAAACAACTTTCCAAACCAAATCTTCTTCAGCAAAAGACTTAGGTTTTACCCTCTTGTTGTAGATCCTCATCACTTTCTTCTTGTGAGCTATGATATGATCCAAGGCATCCCTTCTAAATTCATCCAAATCTTTCAATTCTACCAACATTGCTTGAGTATAATCAGCTGGAGTTAGATTATTTTGAAAAGCAACTCTGGCTGATTTAACCTTCATCTCCATAGGCAGAACAGCATCATGACCATAAGTTAACATGTATGGTGTAACTCCTGTGCCTGTTCTTTTTGAGTTCCTATAGGCCCATAAAGCTTCAGACAAAGTCTCATGCCACCTTCTTGGCTTATCTTTGATCATTTTTTCAATGATCTCAATTAGAATTTTGTTTGAAGATTCGGCCTGGCCATTTGCTTGAGCATAGTATGGCGTAGAGGTTGACATATGAATATTCATGTTGTGGCCGAATTGTAGTACATCAGTTGCTCTAAATACTGTTGCATTGTCTGAAACAAGTGTTTCTGGAATCCCAAATCTGTGGATGATGTTTTGCTCCATGAAATTAATCACTGTTTGCTGATCAACCGTTTTGCAAGCCTTGGCCCTCAACCCATTTAGTAAAATAATCTGTGGCAACAATCACCCAGTGATGGCCTTCGCTTGATGGTGGATTAATTTTACCAATAAGGTCAAGGCCCCAACCTCTGAATGGCCAAAGTTTGATTATAGGCTGTAATTCTTTTGCTGGTACATTTTGAATCGGCCCGTGTCTTTGACAAGCTTGACAACCTTTTGAGTAATCTATGCAATCTTTTCTCATTCTCGGCCAATAATATCCATACTTGCGAATCAGCCATCTCATTTTAATCCCAGCTTGGTGAGCCCCACAGCTGCCCTCATGTACCTCGGCCATAACCTGAAGTGATTCCTCCTTGCTTATGCATTGTAGTAAGAGCCCATCTTCTAACCCTTTTCTATATAGATCCCCATCTAGAAGCACAAAGTTGATCGCTTTTCTTTTAATACTTCTATCAGCCTTGATGTTTGGATTTCGAAGGAACATTATAAATGGTATCCTCCAGTCATCGTCTGCCAAATCTTCTACATCAATTGTCCAAGTATCAAACATAGTATTTCTCAATTCAGCCGATGGCAAAGATCTTCGTGTTATCTTTATCAACTGATCTTCTATTCCGGCTGGTACTCTTATTCCAGAGGCTGCTTGGGCCATGCTGTTGGCCTCCTTATTCTGTCCTCTCGGCCAAAACTTAAGTTGAACATTATCAAATTGATTGATTAATGAAGTGGCCAAAGAATAAAACGGCCTTAATTGCCAACTTAGGCACTTAAAATCTTCAAAAATTTGGCTAAGGACTAAGTTTGAATCTCGCAAAATCTTTACATCTCTAACAGCCATTTCAATTAAAATTTCCAGGCCGATTATAAGTGCTTCATATTCGGCCTGGTTATTTGAACATTTAAAATCTAAAAAGAAAGAGAACGAAGCCTTTCTGCCAGCTGGCGAAATAATAACAATACCTGCTCCTGCTCCATCAGCCGTGCTTGATCCATCAAACATCAAAATCCAAGGAGTCAAGAATATAGCTGATGACTCCAATTCATCATAAACCCATGGATCAATATCAGTTGAAGGATGGTCGGCCAAAAAATCAGCCAGAACCCTTCCTTTTACTGATTTTTGTGAGACGTAGATAAAATTGAATTCCATCAAAGCCAAAGCCCACTTACCTATTCGGCCAGTAATCAATGGCCTTGATAGCATATACTTGACCACGTTAGTCTGACAAAGAATGTAAACATCAACAGGCCGCATGTATACTCTCAACTTCATGGCCGAATAGTACAAAGATAAACAAAGCTTCTCAATTGAGGAATATCTGCATTCTACATCAGTCAGTATTCTACTTAGGTAGTAGACAGCCTGCTCCTTTCCATGTTCATTGTCTTGTGCGAGCATACTACCAATTGATTCTTCTGTGGCCGATAAATAAAGCTTTAACGGCCACTTCTTTCTTGGAGGCATTACAACCGGGGGGTTTGCCAAATACTCTTTTATTTTGTCAAAGGCCTTCTGATGGGATTCGTCCCAATGAAATTTCTCATGTGACTTTAATTTTACTAAAGTCGAAAAGACATGCACTCGGCCAGCATGGTTAGAAATAAATCTTCTAAGAAAACCTACCTCGCCGAGGAACCTTTGCACTTGTTTTTTGTTGGCTGGGGCCCTAGCATTTATAATAGCTTTGACCTTGTTCTGATCAACTTCAATACCTCGTTTATGTACCAAGAACCCCAAGAAATTCTCGGCTGAAACTCCAAATGCGCACTTCAATGGGTTCATTTTCAATTTGTGAATCCTCATCCTTTCAAAGGCCCTTTTCAAGTGTTCCAAATGCTGTCTCTTGGCCGATGATTTCACAACTACATCATCTACATAAATTTCCATGAATCGGCCAATCATATCATGAAAGATAGAATTCATTGCCCTTTGATAAGTAGCCCCGGCATTTTTTAGGCCAAATGGCATCACAATCCACTCAAAAGTACCAATTGACCCAGGACATCTAAAAGCCGTTTTATGAACATCTTCCTCGGCTAAATAGATTTGATTATAACCTGAATGGCCGTCCATAAAAGATAATATTTCATGCTTAGCAGCCGAATCAATAAGTTGATCGGCCACAGGCATTGGATATTCATCTTTTGGAGTGGCATTATTTAAATTGCGAAAATCCACACAAACTCTAAGTTTGCCATTCTTCTTCATTACAGGAACAACATTAGACAACCATTCAACATACCTAACTGTTCGAATAAATCTTGCCTTAAGAAGTCTTTCAATTTCTTCTTTAATTTTGAGCATTACTTCCGAAGACATCCTTCTTGGTGGTTGTTTATATGGCTGAAAATCTTTCTTGATCGGTAATCTATGTTCTACCAATTTTCTAGACAGGCCAGGCATCTCTTCATAACTCCAAGCAAAGCAATCCTTATATTCATTTAATAATTTAATCAAATCGGCCTGGAATTTAGGCTCAAGCAAAGCACTAACAAATAATGGCCGATTATCTTTTTTAGTACCAACATTTATTTCCAATAAAGGATCTTGCACCTCTGCTTTATTATCTTCCATTCTAGAAGGGGCTGACTCCAAATCTTCAAGTTGGATTGCATCCAGCTTTTCGAAACCTTCTTCAATCATATCGGCCGTGCTGGCCGATACCTCTTCATATAGTTGTTCTTCTCTGGCCAGTCTCTTCTCAGCCAGATATGCTTTCAGTCTGATACAAACGGCCCTGAAAGCTTACCGCTTCTTTTCTTCATTGGTTTTGTGATCCATCAGTAACATCTTCAATGTCCTTGATGGTCGACCTGAAAATATCAATTTTCGGCCGAGCTGCTTCTGACAATAATTCTTTAATATCAGCATTAATTAAATTCTTCTTCATTGTTGCCACTGCTGGTCGTCCCATCCTGTTAATGCCAATAAATTTGATAGGTACAATAGTTTCATCATAAAGTGCAGCCTCAGCCGAATACACCCTAGCTATAAAGGGTTTGTTATCAGCCTTAACAATTTTTACCTCATTTTCGTCCCAAAAAATCAATATTTGATGCAAGGTTGATGGGATGCACATGTTAGGATGAATCCAATCTCGGCCTAAAAGGAGATTATAGGCCGCGGTTGAATCAATGATAAAGAAAGCCGTAAAAGATGTCTTACCGCCAATAGTAATTTCCAAAGGTAGAATACCTTTGGTGTTACTAGATCCTCCATTAAAACCACTGATGGCCACGTCGGTTGGAACTACATCATCCATGATTTTACCCAATTTCTTCAAAGTAGTTGATGGAATGACATTCACCACCGAACCATTGTCAACCAAAACCCTATTGATTGGCTGACCCTCAACCCATACTTTAACATACAACGGCCTCAACTGCTGTGTCATGGATAAAGGTGGTTTTTCAAAAATGATTTTATCGGCCTTAGATGGCTGATCCTGAGAGATCAATCCTATCCCGGCCAATGAACTTGTCGAATCGTTCTTAATTTCTGAAGATTCAGCCTTTTCCTCCTACTTGGCTGACTCAACATCCCTGTTCACCGTTGGTTCTATCCTTGCTTCAAACACAGAAGGCAAAACAAATACCATGTTACAATTTACCTTATCTGGGAGAGAACCAAAACAAATTATGTACTTGGCCGCATGCTTTGGATCCTGGTCGGGCTGATCATCTGTTTCTTCGTAAAAGCATGCCTTATTCTCAAAGGATGTAGCGACCTCCATGTCTTCAGCCACCACTGGTTCATTTTTCCTTTCTAGTTGATCATGGTCGATCTTGTCCTCCTTCCTTTTAAGTTCTGCATTTTTCCTTTGCATCCTCCTTTTTTGGGTACGTGTAGGAGGCTGCTTAGGAAACTTTGGGTGACTTACTCGAGTCCATCTGCCATGGTCAACCAAAGGAGGTCTAACCGTTCTTACACGGCTAGATTCTTCTCCTTTTTGAACCCATATTTCTGACTGAATTGTTGGTTTCCTTTTGAAACTAGGATAAAAATGTTGTTCTGGCAGGACTCTATCGGCCACCGATGACCGAATGATTCTTACTGCCCTCGGCCCATTTTCTCTAAATATTGATCGATTGATTTCTTCGTGATTCTGTCTAGGCTGATGGCCTAACCTTTCATGGACACTGCGCTTTCTGGTTGATTGGAAATAACCCCTCTTGTCTGAGTCATTCCTTCGGCCTTTGCAATTTTGACAACAACCATGGTTGATGAGGGCAATTTGAGCTTCTCTTAACTGAATTTCCAAGTCCTTAACTTTCTGCTCATCATTACTGGCCGATGAACTACCAAGAACTTTTGGTAATCTTTCCTGTCTACCATTATCAGCGGCTTTTTCAGTTGCCAGGCTGATTACATTGGTACTGACAATATTAGGAAATGGATCGCCATCGACCCCCATTACATCTGGCTTCTTTTCAGGGAATTTCAACACACCTTCATCGATAGATTTCTGCAATACATTTCTAAATACATAACAATTGTTAGTAGTATGATTCCATGAATTATGAAATTTGCAGAACTCTCTTCCTTTCAAATCATTGGTCGATGGTATATTGTGTCCTTTTGGCAAAATTATTTGTTTGTCGGCCAACAAATGATCAAAAATTTGTTCTGTTTTGGCCAGATCAAACGTATAAACCTTACCAGTATCAGCCGTACCCTTCCTGGCCGATGTAGTCGATGGCTGAGTACCACTGGTGGATACATTTGGTTTTGTTAAAGCGTCACATACATAAGGTTTCTTTAGAATGACTTCCGCTAAATTAGCTTCAAAATCTTCCTCTTCAACCACATCAGTTGAATAAACTTCATAGTTGGGGTCCCTATAGTATGTACCTTTAGAGGAATTTTTTCGTTCTTTCTCCTCTTTGAGAACCAACTCATACCTGGTAGCTTTCTCGGCCAGGTCATACATGTCACGAAATGGAACTCCTTCAAACCTCTTCCGAAGTTCAAAATCAAGGCCGTTCAAAGCCAAACGAATGTACTCCTGTTCTGGAAGAGGTACACGACATCTTAATCTTGCTCTCCTGAATCTTGCAATGAATGTCTCGACCGATTCACTAGGCAATTGACTTAGCCTGGATAAATCGGCCAGAGTAGGTTCTGTCTCCGTACGGTAGAACTGATTGTGGAATAATTCCTCCATCTATGGCCAATTAAAAACAGAGTTAGGAGGTAGACGAATATACCATGAAAAAGCTGCCCCTGTCAAAGAGTTAGGAAAAAGTCTCAATTTCAACCACGGGCTAACACTAGCCTCTCCACATTGAACCGTGAATCGGCCAATGTGTTCCACGGTCGATTGATTCCCCTCTCCACTAAAGGTTACAAAGTCAGGGACTTTATATCCTCTAGGGAACTCAACTTGGTCTACCACTTCTGGATAAGGAGTTCTATAAATTGGTCGGCCGGCACCTCTAAGTTCCAGGCCATATTCTTCTATGAGTAAATCAGCTAATTGTCTTCTATCTAACATAACTTGAGGTTGCTGATTTAATATTGGTGGTACCTGATTAAAAACTGGCGGCTGATTAGCCGCTGGTTGATAGCAATTCGGCCAATCATGTGGTTGATTAGCCATATTCTGCCCCCCGAGCCTTACCTGTGGCGGCACATGTGTATACAGTGGGTTCGGTGGCCTCCACCTGATCTGATTGCCCCCCGAGTTCAAAGGCATCCGAGGAGGGTTTGGTAGAATTACCTGTGGCTGCGAACCTACTACTGGTGGCTGATTAGAACCTGCCAACGTAGGCTGAGGATAGCTTTCTGCCCAGGTGAGTAGCGTATGAACCGGCTGACTTGATGTTGCAACTGGTTGGAGTGTCACTATTGGCGGCCATGGCTGTGATGTTTCAATGGCCCTCTCTGGCTGAGCAGCTTGGGATAGATTCGGCTGAGAAGTCGATTCCTGGTTGTTGGAGCTGCTAGCTTGAGTCGGCTTGTTCAAAATAAAGGATGAAAGTTGGGACACATTTTCATGCAAGTCGTTGTAGCGTGCTCCTATCCTTCCCATTGCATCTACCAAGGAGCTAACCTGTGCCTGAAGTACGGCTAACTCATCAGTAGGACCTGCTGCAGAGTTCTCAGCCTGTACTAGCTGATCGCCTTCCTCCAAATCTTCATCAGTAGCCACGGCCTTAGAATTTTTTGTGGGCCGCGGCATATTTGCCTCTTTTATAACACTCTAATAGTTGTCCCACCGGGCGTGCCAAAACGTGTTCGCGCGGTTTTTGTTTCCTACGCCGGTCGATGGACTCTTCGCGGGGGTGCCAGAGTATTTGTACAAAATACCCAAAATATGTAATTGAACACCAGCCTATCCCTTTTTCCGATGGCTGACTCTCAAGCGACTGTGTGGGAGAGAGACTAGTAAGAACTCCCAGCAAGGTTCTTTTATGCCTTGTTTGTAGCAAGGACTTTTTAGAGTGTCTAAAGAAATGTAACGGCTGATGAATGTTTGAATGGATGGAATGGCCGAGTGAAGACAGGCGGCAAGAACTTAATCAATCACCGGCCGAACGTGATGGCGAGAACTTAATCAATCGCCATCAGCCAAACACAATGGCAAGAATTTAATCGATCGCTACTGAAACGTGATAGCAAGAATTTAATCAATTGCCATCAGCCAAGTAATGACAAGAATTTAATCAATTGTCACTACGATTCAATGGCAAGAATTTAATTAATTGCCATTGAATTAAAAGCCTAACTAAAATTACGTAATTAAAATTGGCATAATTGAAATTGAAAGAAAGTAAATGGCTGAATTGAAATAGTTGACAATGATCTAATTAATTGCCATTAAATTGAAATAAAGAAATTTATAGGAAAAAATGACGTAGAGTCAATTGAAAACATTTTTAGTTGAAATGCATGTTTTGTGGTGGTGCTGGACAAGTTAGAAATGGAATACAATACTTCTATTTATAGAAGTTCTATCTCAACGTATTTTCCTAAGTTATTGCTAGAAAATCTCTCCTTCTTTGATTCTTTTTCTTCACAATTTGAACTCAGTTAAATCCTATTGTTATTCTGCTTCCTTTCTTGTTTTGTTTCAGTAGGAAATCTCTGTAAAAACAACCTTCCTCGATTTAATCACATGTAAGTTGCCGAGATATTGCTAAAACGTTGCTAGAAAGTTGCTGAAAAGTTGCTAATTTTTAGCAACTCCCCTCCTTAAGTTTAGCAGCCGTGTTCTATCCCAAGTGGCCTATCCTTTAGCGCCATGTCTTCAAAGCTTTCCTTCTTTCATCAAACTAAACTTCCTATTTTATAGGAATTTAGTTATTGAGTTTCATCCAAACTCTAACCTTTTCCTTTCTGTTAACATCCCATTTTGAAAAAAGTCAAATGTGAGTTGCTATATTTCAGCAACTGCCATATCATTAGGTGGCTGAAATATATCTTTCTATATTTGCTCCTAATATCTTCAAACTGGCTGATCCATTCTTGGACTTGCTCAACCCTTATCGGCTTCCCATTGGTCCATGTCGCTGCTGAAGTGGCTGCCAAGTTTTGGTGCCAACACTTTATGTTCCAATTGTGCAATGGCCTCAGTGTTTTGTTGGGTAGACACTTGGATCTCATGAATAACCTGACCAGTTAACAATATAAATTACTGAAAA